GGAGAGTACATAGCACCAGAGAAGATTGAAAATGTGTATCTGAGAAGTGAAGCACTTGCTCAAGTGTTTGTCCATGGAGAGAGCTTGCAGGTAGGCATTCTTTGGGTAATTAAAAACAATGCAAGGAAGAGATGAAAGGTGGAGAAGTCTTTCCTCATTCTTCCCCATCCTTAACTTTGCATCTGAAGTCTTAACACATTTTGTAGAATCAAAATTGAGTAGGAAAGATCAGCTAGTCCAATCCCCCTGCCATGGGTTGGGGACATCTTTCACTAGATCAGGTTGTTCAAAGCCCCATCCAACCTGAGTTTAGCACTGTCAGGGATGGGGTGTATCCAGGGTTTCTCTGGGCAACCTGTTCCAATGTCTGTTTAGTATTAGACGTGGTAGTTTTGAATCCACTTCAGATTCCACCAGTTATAACGTGCTTCTGGATCTGGTTTCAGACCACATAGTAGAGCTGGATTAACTTAATTGATTATTAGGCACGGTAAATAAACTGCTAACAGCATGCATGGAAACAGTGTACCTGCCAAGATGTTCAATTTACACTTAAAAAACCTGAAGAGTATTTCAAGAGATTCTCTTATGAGCAGGCTTATGAACTGCACTCCTGTCTTAAAGCAGCAGAAAGCTGCTGAATTTCTAGTAGAATCAGAACTACCACCCAAAAGCAGACACTGACTAATAGGTAGCATGTAGGAACTAGTGTTGTCTTAAATTCAAAATAAAACCAAAACCCTTCAAATTTCATTTTAGGCCTTCTTAATAGCTGTTGTGGTACCTGATCCTGAGACTTTGCGCAAATGGGCCAAGAAAAGAGGACTTGAAGGCTCATATGAAGAGCTCTGCAAAAACAAGGTGAGTGATACCTAATTAAACAGTTAGCTGTTCTGCATCAACTCTTTCAAGCTAAATGTGTTCTTGTATCCACAGGATGTCAAAAAACACATTCTAGAAGACATGGTGAGGATTGGTAAAGAATCTGGTTTGAAGTCATTTGAACAGGTAAGATACAAATTACAACTGGACACCTAATTTTTTAAACATCTCAGTAACTATCATAGTATCCAGGAACTCGTTTTAATTTGTACCTGCACTTCTTAAGTGATGGGTTTTGTTATATTTAGGCAATTTTTTGTTAATAGCCTTGTGTATTCCAAGGAATGTAGCTTAGCTATTATCTGTTTCTCTTCCAGGTTAAAGACATTATCATGCACACTGAAATGTTCTCTATTGAAAATGGCCTGCTGACACCAACACTGAAGGCGAAGAGACCGGAACTACGAAAATATTTCCAGTCACAGATAGATGAACTCTATGCTAATACCAAAATGTAACTGAGTGGATTGAGGAAAGTGTCACACGTCTGTCTACTGTTAGCCTTCATATCTGTAATTTGACTACAGCAAATATAGGGAAGGAAACTGTGCAATCATTAACTTGTACAAAAATGGGTACTTGCCATTGGAACATTGAAGAAATGGAACACTGCCTTACTGTCAAGTCGTGTTGCATACTGTTTTTATGGTGACCTACGATTTCCAAAAAGAGCCTTAACTATAAATGGTAACTATATATAAGTTATTTAAGACTTTATCGGCCAAAAATGGACTCTCCTTAAACAAGGAGCTAAGGTTTTCTTATTGCCAGCATGTTTGCTGTCTGCAGTATATTTTCCAGTTGTCAATTCCAAAAGGGATTTGGCAGGTTTGAAATGCCTCTTAAGTATCTTGCATCCTCAGAAGGATTACACTAATCTGTGCAAAAAAAAACCTTACAGTTGTATAGCTGGTATCACATCTTGCATTGGTCCTAATATTAATTTGGGCAAGGCATCTGAGTTTCTTCCCTTCTGTCTACAGCCAGTTCTGAGGCTTACTTTTGTAAGGTAGAAGTCAGAACTCCACCCAAAGGAGACTGATTAATACAGGTTCAGAGTAAGTCTGGATTTGGTGGTTCTGCACTAGCAGTGTAGATGCAGTAAATTTGGCAAGTTGTAGCCTCTGCTACATTAATGTAATTCCAGAGCGGTGCCAGTCCTGTAAGAGAACAGACACTAACTCTGGCAAGAACACTAGAGATCCAGAAACAAAAACCATTCAGGAGGCTAGGCTATGCTGACAGGCAGGTAAACATTGCACCTGTACTAGCCACTCGTTTCCTTGTAATGAACATGTATTTAAAATGCACTTTAAAAAGTGCCAGGTCCCCTGTAAGCAGAATAGCTTCTGCCATAACCTCTGTTTTCTGTGCTTTGTGTATGAGCCACTGAGTATTCTTCACTGAATAGCAAAATAGGTCAGGTAGAATGTTTTTTGCCTGATGCTTTGCAGTAATTGGAAGCATTCAGATATGCCAACAGAACTGTGTTGGCACTGTATAGGTATTTGTTCAGGGATGAGAAAGTAATTCCCAGATAAACTACAAAACTATTTACCTTCTGTTTCAGAAATCAGCAAAAATAAGCCTTGTGACATAAGTCTCTTGCTATTCTTAACAGAGCTGGTTTTGCATTAGCATTCATTGCTGTTTTTTGAAAACATGGATATATGTAAAATACAAGCACAACAAGGTTTGCACTAAGATTTGTGTGTGATTGTAATGCACTACTCTGTAGCATAATTTCATACATGTGTGCAGTTAAGGTACACAAATCCAAGTCAACTGTTAGAGCAGTAGTTTGTTACATTGGAATTCAAATGTTTGCTTAGTGTTGGCTATTTCTATGTTTTATAAAACCAAAACAATTTTCAAAACCAATGAAGGAAACCAAAATAAATATTTCTGCATTTCAACTCAGTGAAGTATTTGTTTAATCAAGGGAAGATGCTACTGACTAGCAAGTAGAAGCATAATACGGTAATTCTGACAAGCTGTAAAACTCCAGTGCTACAACCATGTTACCTAGCACAGGATCAGTGCTGCTTGTTGATGCTTTGTTTAGAAGGTAACTTTGCTTTGATCTGACACTTACGTGTGGGTTTTTGACCAATATCTTCAAGAAAGGGATGCTACTGTGTAATAGCATAAATCTATCTTTGTTGTCAGTATAGTTTGATGGTGTTCTTTCCCTCTTATGTTATGATAAGCTGTAGCTTTACTGATAGTACTGCTTTTGGGTGGTTACTGTTCCTCTGTGTATAATTGTTCCCCCCCCACCGTGCCTCTGGCCTTGATATAATATGAAGATCTATCACTCACCCTAGATAGTGACTCAATTATTTTCCTAGGCAGCCTGTTCCAACTTCTTGTCTCCTACTTAGTGCCTACTTAGACCAGCCACCACCTTGCTATAGCCTCCCTTAAGGTAATTGTAGAGCATGATGAGAATTGTAGAATGTGATACTTTACTGCATGTCTCAATGGAAAAAAAGGCTAAAAGATGCTTGAACTGCATCTAAGGCCTGTTCTTGACACATCCTATCAAAAAGTTTTCTGTAGAAGCTGTTGATCAGAATAGCCAAGACAATACTAGAGTCTATAATTAGCTTGAAGGACTGTCCATAAACCCCAGGTAACAAGCAATAACACAAAGAAGTCTCCTTAGCTTATCCTCTTGAATGGGGGGGGGGGTCAGGGCAGACAGCAGTAGGTCTTCAGAATACCCTAAGGAAGAATACCCAAACCTGCAGATAAGGAGTTGAGGAATTCAAAGAACTCCTCCCCAGCCTTTTGAAAACTAGGAGGGTTTTGTTCTGTTGACAGATAGCTAAACCTGTGTTAAGCCATCTAAACAAAGGCTAAATGGGGTTACATGGGGCTGGGGGCTAGTCACTAGTCTGGTTCTGCAGGGTTCCTCTTAGGGGACAGTTCTAGTCAATGTTTTCATAAATGGTGTGGATACAGGACTCAGATGTGTACTAAGTGAGTTTGCAAATAACACTAAGAGGAGCTGTTGACTATCTTGAGGGTGGAGAGGACTTGCAGAGAGATCTTCACAAATTAAGAGGTTAGGGCAATCACCAATGTTATGAAGTTTAATGAGCAAATGTGAGCTTCTTTCTCTGGAATAGAGCAATCCCAGATACCCATGCAGATTGAGGGATGAAAGGCTGGAGAGTAGCCCTGCAGAAAGGGGTCAACAGCAGTTTGTATAAGAGGCAGTGTGCCCTGGCAGCCAGGAGGGCAAGGACTGCATCAGGCACAGCAGTGCTAGCTGGTCAAGGGAAAGGACTGTCCTGCTCTGCTCTGTGCTGCTGTGGCCTCACCTCAAGTACTGTGTGCACCACAATATAAGGACATAAGACTATTAAGAGTATCCAAAGGAAGGACACAAAGATGATGATGGGTCTAGAGAGCAAGACATTTATGAGGATGGGCTGAGGTCCCTGGGTTTGTCCAGCCCAGAGCAGAGCAGGCTGAGGGGAGGCCTCATGGCGGCCTGCAGCTCCCTCACAAGGGAGCGGAGGGGCAGGCGCTGAGCTCTGCTCTTTGGGGACAGCGACAGGACCCGAGGGAACGGCATGGAGCTGGGACAGGGGAGGGTCAGGATGGGGGTTAGGGAGAGGTTTTGCAACCAGAGGGTGGTCAGGCACTGGGACAGGCTCCCCAGGGCCATGGGCATGGCACTGAGTCTGATGGAGTTCAAGATGTGCTTGGACAATGCTCTCAGATGCATGGTCTGATTTTTGGGTGGTCCTTTGTGGAGCCAGGGGTTGGACTCGATCCTTGTGGGTCCCTTCCAACTCAGGATATTCTGTGGTTCTTACACAGTAACTGTGTGGCAGAGATTAGGAATTACAAGTCTTAAGCCTGAATCCTACTTTCTTGGCAGCAAGCAATATTGTTGTATGTTTGGAATTGATTTTGTGCAGACTGTGGCTATTTTTTCACCTCAGATTTTAGAAATCTTTGTAGAAATGATCCCATTTGCTCACTTTTCTAGATAGGAAATTAGAGCCAAGCGATGCCTGGCCCCATAAGCGTATGTATACAGCCACAGTTTATGAAGCTGCTCTATGTTATAAGTGTCTGTGACGAATAACCAATTCAGAGTATTATTTATCAGAACAGAATTTATTTGAGCAACCGATCAAGCAGGCAAAACAGCGCTGGGCGGCTGGGGAGTCTCTGCTCCACCAACAGCACGCGCTCACCCCCACCAGAGCCCCCTTTTCTTGCCGGTGGTTCCGGGTTGGCGTAGCACATCCTGGTTCTCTCTGCGGTTGTGCATCCAGTTGTTAGGGGGATTGTCATGGGCTCTGGTGGTTGCGGGGATGAAGGTCGTAGTCTTCCTCTGCATTGTAGGTTGAGGGCCTGCTGGTTGGCGCACGCACAGGATGTGCCAAGGGTCATCCTTTCCTTTGGGCATTCCAGTCACTGCAGTTGTTAGCTTGCAGCAGGAAGTCACCACAATTGTTTGCTCGGCAGGATGTTGCAGATATGCCAGTTATCCAAGGTAACAGAGGTTAAAACAGCTTATCCGGTTACCCCACCAGTCTGATAGACAAATTCTGTATACAGCCTTTATTACAATCCCCTCTTTTTGTTTTTACAGTTTTGTTCATCGAATCAGACAATGGTTTCCCGGGCTAGGGAGAGGATGGGAGCTTCTCTATTAATAACTTTGTCATCCTCTAGGTGTTGACTGCTGTTGACTCCTTTCATTTGGTATCATAAGTAGCTTGCATTACTTTCCAAAGAGGGTTCTCCTCAACCATACCTGTAGGTGGGGTTATGGCACTATTTATATGTTATTTTCAGCCCGGCTTGGTGTGTTTGTTGGGCCCAAAGGGGGTAGTGCCTTTATCTTTGGCCCGTTAATGACCCTGTTAGGACCGACCCCTTGAGGAGGGCTCTCTACCCTCTCCTTTTTTATAAAAATTAGCCCTCCTCTATCGGCTCCAGGTTCCCAGAACCTTACACCCCAGGTCCTCCCTACCAACCATCCTAAATCCTGAGGTTGTAATACTGTAACCCTCAGAGATTTACAAGTTCCAGCATTATTTACGCTACCGTCATAACTGTAAGTGGGCTCACGGCAACCGTCCGGTATCCAAGTAACATTGAGGTACCTATCGGGAGGGTGACTCCACCATCCCGGAGTAGCTATGGTTTCACAGCCCCAGTATGGGCAAAAATAATACTCTGAATGGTTACAGTAACTTTTTCCCGGGTTTGAGCTAGGACACCAATAGGTAGCCTTCGCATTTGAAGCCCCCCAGGAGTATTGTCTCTGGGGACTACACAGGTGGTGTTCTGTATTTCCTCCATATCCTAGTATTGTCCCGAGTAATTCACAATTGGTTATATTGAAAGAAGGTGAGCCTGCTGTAATACTAGTTCTGAGGATCTTTGAGTCATCCCAACTACCCAGGGTCCACTTGTAAGGCCGGTGAGGGCTCTCTTCTCCCTTTGTTACATCTAACCGGATTATCAGGAGTACCATTACCCATACAAACAAAGTTAAACTTGAGAGAAACGGAGGGGCCCTGCTTTTACTACGGGTATCCCGGGGGTTTTGGTGGGCACTGTGTCTCTTACCCTGGTTGCTTCCTGCTGCAGGTGGGAGGCATTGGGGAGCTGGTGTTTCACAGGGCCTCATGGGCTGTTTCCAGAGGTGGCTCACCAACCTTGATCCCCACAGCATTACGCCTCTGCCTCCTCCGTCTACTCTTTTGCTTGGAGCAACGGAGTGTGTCATCTCGGCAGCAGCCGTATTCTTCAGGGGAACCTCCTTCCTCTTTTAGCCCACTTGATTTGTATGCTTTTCCCCCCCAGCTCCACACCTTATCTCGACCGCTGTTATCTGCAGCCTGTTCGGAGGATCTCACCCTTCGTTGGGCAGGGCCTGCTTCACGGCTTTCCCAGTGACCCCCCCCCTCTTTTTACACTTACCCCTGAGATGGGATACCCGTAGGAGCAATGAACCCTCTGACCTCTCTTACAGAACAAAAAGGGTTATATGTGGTGGCTTTACTCAACAGTCTTCCTCCAGAAGGTGACCTTCAGGTTGTCAGGGCTCCCAGTTGCCTCCTGGTGAGGATCTCGAACAGGTGCTTTTATCCTGCTAGCACGAGTCCAACCTCGTTCTGCTGTTTGAACCGCAGTGTCTGTGGTAAGCAACACAAGAAAGGGTCCCTCCCAACAAGGGATCAGGGAGGACTCTTTCCAGGCCTTAATCAATACTCTGTCCCCTGGCTTGATCCTGTGTATTGCTATATCTAAGGGTGGTCTTTGTACTATTAATCCCTTCTTTATTAGTTCTCCTCTTCACTTCATCAACTCAATTTTGTACTCTTGCAGCACCTTCTCTTCTACCTTTGGGTGCTCGGCTAGTATTTCCATGTCATAAGGCATCCCGTACAACATTTCAAAAGGGGAAATACCTGTATCTGTCCGGGGTTGTGTCCTCAGATTTAATAAGGCCATTGGAAGACATTTTACCCAGTTCATCTTAGTTTCAATCATCAATTTGGTCAATTGTTTCTTAATTTCCCCATTCATTCTTTCTACCTTCCCCGAACTTTGCAGGTGCCATGGGGTATGATATTCCCATCTCGTCCCCAAGGGATCCAAGGCTTCTCTGATAGTCTTGGAGGTGAAGTGTGGTCCTCTGTCTGAGTCTATTACAGCTATATTCCCGTACCTTGGCACAATGTTTTCTAATAATATCTTTATGATTGTCTGTGCTGTGGCTCGAGCCACCAGGAAGGCTTCTACAAAGTGAGTGAGATGATCCACTAAAACTAAAAGGTATTTACACTTCCTGACCTTTGGAAGCTCTGTGAAATCGACCTGTATCTTTTCAAATAGTCTCTTTGCTAGCCCCCAGTCCTCCTGCTACCTTTTCTCTGACTTGTTGTTTATTAACCCTTTGGTATGTCAAGCATCCTCCCACCATCTTTTTAGCAATTTCATAAATCCCAATACACATACTTGTTCCCAAAGTGGTCCACAAGTACTCCCCTTGTGGGTCTGCCTGTACTCCCCAGTGGGTCTGCCTGTGGATTTCTTTCATTATCCTCCACTGCCATGCCTTCAGGAATAACCTCCCTCCCATCAGGGAGTGCCCACTTCCCCTCTTTTTCAACAATCCCCATTTGTTGTAGTTTCTCTACCTCTTTTACCTCCGAGGTGTTCCCATCTATTATGGCATGACCTGATTTTTGTTTCCCATTTATTACCCTCAATGATCCGTCTACAAATAATTTCTCCCCATTTGGTAATTCCTCTTTCTCCAAGTCTTCCCTTATTTTGGTCTGGGATTCAATTAATCGGACACAATCGTGTGTCCATTCTTCACTTGGTTCCCCATATAAAAATTGAGCTGGATTCTGTAAACCAGTCATTTCGAGTTCTAATTTGGGGGAATGTATCAATATACCTTCATCCTTCAATAGTCTAACATCAGTAATCCACTCATCTGCTTTCTGTTGTGACACTCCTCTCATGTGATGAGGTGTATATACCTCTAATTCTCCCCCCAGGGCGACTTTTCCAGCTTCCTCGACTAAGAGGGCCGTAGCTACTACAGCCTGTAAGCAGGTGGGCCAGCCTCTACTAACTGGCTCCAACAATTCTGAAAAGAAACCTATGGGCTATGTTGGAGGAGGAGGAATAGGATCTGGCGCTGGGGCGGGGGGGATAGAGGGAGCTCCTCGGGACTCTCATTTTTTTCCTAGAGCTCGTTTCCCTCAAGGTAAACACGTGGGTCCTGGTACCTTATCCACAAACCTTACCAGTAATCGCTTACCAATACTTACTCAGTCCTGAGTCTTCATTCGGATCTTCGCGCACAAGAATGGCGGGGTACCGCGGGATTCCTTTGCCTGTTTACCCAAATTTAGGGTTCAGATGTACGGGATTTGGGCTGGGGAGCACCCGGAGGTGGTGCACCCGCCTCGTGCTCGGATCCCAGACCAAGCTGACCTGTGTGCGAGTCACGGCACCTCGCTGTTACCAGTGTGTGTGACAAATCCCAATCACCGATTCAGAGCACTATTGATCAGAACGGAATTCATTGCAGCAAGCGGCCAGGCAGGCAGAGCAGCTCTGGGCGGCAGCGGAGTCTCCGCCCCACCAACAGCGTGCATCCACCCCGCCAGAGCCCCGCTTTATTGCCGAGTGGTTCCGGGTTGACAAGCGCATCCACCGGCTCCTACAAAGGGGTGGGAGGGCGAGCACCCCACAGCCCCATCGGGGCGCTGCAGCCGCCATCCCCTCCCCTCCCTTCCCCTCCCCTTTCCGGAGGCGGCCATGCCCGGCCCGCCTTTGAATCGCGGCGGGAAGGTGGCGGCGGCCGTTGGCGGCCGTGAGGCGAGGCTGGGGCGGGGCGGCCGTGAGGGACGGGGGGCGGCTGCCTGAGGGGCGGGCGGCCTCGGCTGCGGTTGCATATTTGGGAGACCACGCTTCAGGGTAAATGTCCTCCAAGAAAAAGCTGAAGAGACATCGTTCCAGAGATGAATTCAAGGTAATTTTCTACGTTTTGAGCTTAATTGAAACAATAAATTATTCGTTGTTTTACCGTGCTTTTGTGTCACTGATTGCGGAGGCGGATATATGTACGTTAACGCAGGGCTTTCCTTGCATAAATGTCGGGAGCTTTGCTCTGGGAACACAAATTGTACGGGTCGTGCAGGCTTAGTACAGGCTGTAAAGTCTTTTTTTTTTTCCTTTAGGAGTAGTACATTGTCAGGCAAAATGAACCATTGACTTTCGAATAGGCAAAAATTTGAAAACAACTTCGTAAAAAAAAAAAAAAACAGCTTAAAGAGGAAATAGCTGATGTGTTCAGTAGCGTAAAACCCGTGAGGTGCTGCTCAGTGCCAGTAAACTTAAAAGCTTGTGAAGTCAATGCTTTCTTCTAATTCCTTCTCAAGGTACACAAATTAGCGAGGAAGCTTATTTCCATATTTACAGTGTGAGTAGCACACTTGAAAATATTTCCTAAAGTAATGCCATTCTCTCCTGTCTTTCTGTTGTCCGGAAGTGTCTGTATAGTGCTTGGCTTGCATGTTCCATCTTCCATAAGAAGTTACACTTTGAAAAGTGAAAATGAAAGTCATTTCCAAATCGAAAGTTAAAATGAAAATCTCATACACTTGGTTTTGTAAATACAAACTACGGTATAGCATAAAATAGCTGTGTATGCTAGTTTCATACCATCACTTCTCTTAGGGAAAATAAAGCATAGCTTGAGGAAAAAAGTGCATGCTTCAAGTGCTTTATATCATAGCTTAGAAGTCACTACTGGTTAAATGTACTTTTAGTCAAAAGTTCTTGAAATTCATTGTCATATTCAATCTGCAATATGATAAGAAGTTTGGATGAGCTAGCTATTAATTTCATATGCTTCCAGGAAGACAAAAGCAGGTTCCGGTCCTCGTTGGAAATTACTTCCACCCGAGGAACCAGATGTCTCAAGGATATTGAAGGTGGCTGGAGCAAATCAGCTTGAGGAGCTTGACGATTCATTTGGTTAGTATTAATTTAAACATATGATTTAAATGAACTAACCACGTGTAAACACTGAAATATTTTGTCCCTAGGAAAAGGTACTGTTTCTTTGCCAACAGAAACTGTGGGCAGGAGACAGAGCAGAGAGGGGTTTTTTTTGTTTGTTTTTTAGGGGGAGATGTTATGTTCTGTCATTTAGGAAGTAAATAGAATAATGTAGTAATATATGCCAAGTAAAATTTGATGGTAATATACTGGCTATTCAAGTTTTATAGTGTAAATAGTAGAATTTCATGCAATATAGCGGTGCAATCATGTAAGAACTTAGATTTTAAAAGGGAAGTTCAGTTTCTTAAGTTATTCTTTGTTAAATTACACAAATTATGAAGTGAAATTGTTAAAGAGAACATACATGGCAGCAAGCTCAGAAGTTCACAGGGATCTTGTTCTGCTGTTTTCAAACATAAGTCCACCACTAAATCATTTCCCTAAGCTCCACGTCCCCACGTTTCTTAAATTCCTCCAGGGATAGCAACTCTACTGCCTCCCTGGGCAGCCTGTTCCAAAGCCTGACCTCCCTTTCTGTGAAGAAACTCTTCCTGCTATGTGATCTAAACCTCCCCTGTGCAAGCTGAGGCCATTGCCTCGTATTCTGTCACTTGTCACGCTTGATGCCCTCCTCGCTGCAGCCTTCTTTCAGGTACTTGCAAAGCATGATGAGGTCTCCCCTCAGCTTCCTTTTCTCCAGATTAAATAGCCCCAGTTCCTTCAGTTGCTCCTCATGTCTTGTTTTCTAGTTCCTACCAATAACAGTTAGGCAAGTATAGAAACTCTGATGCTTTGACTATTTGAAGATTAGAAAAAATGCGTATAATACTTTTAACGAGACTTCATTTGCGTAAGTGAGCAGGCCACAAAAATTTTAACTGAATGCTGAATGGCAGGCAATGCTAATATACCCATGATCTTTGCCTCAACAGATGGGAACAGTTTTCATACAGCTTATTTTCCATTATTCACAGATCACCCTTTGCACAGTACTGCTGTGGATGCTTATGGAGAGGAACGTTCGGAAAGCGAGTCAATTAGTCATGTTTCAGCTCCACAAACCAAAAACACAGGAAGAAGGTCTGGTGAAAAAATAATTACCAGCATTTGTTTGTTTATTTATTTTAGATTAAATGTTTTGTTTGTCAGGTTTCACTAACTTCTTATTAAAAAGATACCTAAAATCTCCCAGATGAGAAACCAAGAGTGAATAATATCCAGGAACACAAAAAATGGGAGAATGAGCTAGAGTCTGCCTTCTATAAGTAGTACACTGATTTAAGTAGTTACTATAGCTCTTTTTTTTTTTTTTTTTTTTTTTTTTTTTTTATGAAAGGATGGCTTTGTGAGGTGTAAATTAGTCCTCTAAATCCTGGTGTCTTTAAAGTTTAAAAAGGGGAAAATAAGACAATAACAGTGCTTGTATGAGGTTGTGTATTTCTTCATGTTTTTGTTTTTTTTTTCCCCTCAGCCCTCTGACCCCCCAAAGGAATATTTTTCTATTCCTGCTAATTATACCAAATATTAATTTTGTGTCTATTTCAAAGTTTCTCCCTGATACAACATGTTTGTCTCAGTCGTCTGTTAGAAATGGGTTTCTAAATTGTTGCGAGGTTTGCTGTTGATGGATAAAGATTCTGTTCCCTTTATATACCACTTGAAATTTTAATGTAGTTATGTAGGGGAAGCTGAAAGGGACAGCAGTACAACATGTTACCCAAACCCTAAGATTTTGTTGTTTGTATATAGAATATCATTTTTCTCAGTATGTAGTTGGCTTACATGTGTTTTTTTTTTTTTTTCCCTAGTAAACAAATGCACTTGAAACTGTCTGAGAATGATGTTGACAAATCCAACTCAGATGATTCTACTGATGAGCACCTTAAGGAGAATATGGTATGGAGACCATTGCATGAGTATATCAGTCAAATCATTTTTAACTTGATGCCATGCTTGCATTGGATAATGGTGGGGAAGGAAGACCTTTCATTTGCTTTTTAGTACTTAACTGTATGCCAGATAATTAGTCCTCTTAATATTCCTGTGAGATTGCCAAGTGTTAAGTGAAATGCTTAAACCTACATGGTCATTTCAATGGAGAATGTAATGGCTGGGGTCCTGTAGTCCATTTTAATTGCTTGTTTGGCAATATGTTGTTATTTTTTTTCTTTTAAATGAGTATATTTACATCTGGAATATATGTTTTTAAAGAATGCCATAGTACTTGGTATACAAATCAGTATAGTTCAGTATAGAAGAACATTTATGAGAGAATTTATTTTTTCATTGATAAAATTAATTTTGAAGATATATTGGAATTAGACAAAAACAATTGATATTGAATGAGTGTTTTTCCGTGCTTAGGCTGTAATTAATGTGAAATGATTTTGGCCAGCTCAGCTTCTGGTTCTGAGTAAGAGTTAACTACTTTGGGAAAGTAGGCCTGTGATAGAAGAAGCAATGCAGTAGTTTGTCTAAAAGCTTTTTACCTACTGAAATTCATTGGAATTGTTGAAATTTGTGTTGTAAATCTCAGGACATAATGTTAGTCTTCTATCAGTGAACTGCACATAAGCAGCACTGTTGTTGAATACTTCCTGTGACATGAGAGTAATTGTAAGTAGAGAAGGAATTGGGGCAGATGTAGGTGAAAAGGAAGGTAAGGAGGAGGTGTTGGACAGAGAACTGTTGATACTGGTGCCTATGCTGAACTGAGGGGCCTTAGGCTCCTTAAAGTGTTCCTTAAAATCACTGTCTGATGTGTCGCTTGGTTAGTGCAGCCAAGCAGCTGCTGTCCCTGCGCAGTGTAATCAATGTGCTGTGACTCTGATGAAACAGACCTCAGTAAATGGTACCTAGTATTTCTTGACTGAAACATCACCAAAAATGCTTTCCTGAATTCTACCTGATTGCTGTCTCTCAGAATTTTAAGTGAGTGCACCTAGGTTCTATTTCAAAGTTAATCTGCTTTGTGTATCACAGAAAGCTCCAAGTACTGCTCAACTCCAGTTGAAAAAGAAGAAACAACCTTCAGAGGAGAGCACGCCAGACCCTTCTGGTAAAGCAGACCTTTCAAAACTCTTGCGTAGTTGTATCTCATTCAAAACTAATATTTTTCCTTAACTTGGCAGTCTCTAACTTCTGATATGTAGTGGCGTACTGCTTTGGGAGGTTGTAATTTTAATGCTGGTCTAAACACTCATTAGCAATGGATAAATTGAGGCGCTGGTGTGCCACACAGTTCTGATCCTGATGGGTTGCATCCCTGGACTTGCCTATTACTGGAGCATAGATGTGTGTCACCCTTTGCAGGCAGTCTGGCTTCCTCTGGGGGAAGCTTGGATCCATACTCCAGTATGTCCCTTGGTTTTAGTGCCTGGAGCACCAGATTGTGGGGCACAACTTGGAGTAACCCTGATTTACAGCAGAGACACAACTGTTAGTGTGAAGACCCTTGAGACAGGGATCTTGAAGATTGTGGCATTTTTTTGGGATGTGGAGAAACTGTTTCTCAGGTGTCATCTTGCCTCCTTCAAATTGTACCCCATTACATTCAGGTAAATCTAG